GTGAGCAAACAGTGCCGCGGCCCGAATCAACTACCCCCCCCCCCTCGTCTACGTCGCCTTCAACCCCATTCTCTCCCCCCCGTCTTCCACCCTCCACCTTCTGTACGGGGTTATTGTCGGCTCTATAATTTGGGGTTAATTCACCGGGCGGCACTCGAGTTCAGGCGTCAAACCGCAGATCGATAGTTCCGCCTGCGCGCACCGTGGGGCTTGTCATGTAAATGTTGCGTGCATAATACCCTCTGCCCTGCTCCTCCACCTCCTCCTTCTCCTCCTCTCGCCTTGCGGCGACCCAGGGCCATTTCCACGGCGATGCCCACCGCAGGCGGCCAGGCCAGGCTCTCTCCGGAGCGTATCCGCGTCGCAATGCACCTGATTTCAGGTGCATACACGCTCGGCGACACGTACGTCAACATTCCGGTAGAGGCCTAACTCGAATGCCCCGCAATAGCCAGGCTTATGTCAATGAAACAGCAGGGAAATTGTTCTCGGCTTCAATAAAGAGCTATCTGCAAAATTGTGAACTGATCCGGAATTATTTCGATGTTTGAGGAAGAGATTTTCAACGAAATGAAATTTTCATATGAAATTGACCGTAATAGTATCATTATGGTGATTTTAATTTTCAAAATTATTATATTTATATTTTGTTTACATTTGCACATTTTTCTGTTACCTCGTGCCTCAGTATTGCGGTTGTTTAGAAACACAAGCTTGTTTATACAGTAGCAGTCTGAGAAATTCTTTTTCTTTCTCTCTCTCTCTCTCTCTCTGACGGCACAATTTGAGGAAAATCCCGACTATCGCACGGAGATTTCCCGTGAATATTCTCACTGTTGCGTGAGTATATACAGGGTGGATTTAGACTACACTATACGAAGCACACGCCGCAATTTCGAAATTCCTGCAGCTGCCTCAAGTCGCGTGCCAATGCGATTCGCATGTGGTAATGCTATTTAGTGTATAAAAGTAAATAAATATTTTTTTACGTAAAGTCACAATTCCTCTTTTATTACCGTCGCAGATTTTTGACGAATATCTTCCAAAAATTTCATTAATATGTATAAATTGATACAACCAGATGTGTAATTAAATACCAACTTTAAAATGGGATATCCTGGCGATGATACAATCCATGAAAATAAGCATTTTTCAATTCTGAAGCAAATAATTTGTTTGCTTCTATTTTGTCGCGTACGATGTGAAAACAAAGCATTACACATACTCATCATACAACATTACACATTCTCATTTTGATGTTTACAAAAAATGTCCTCCTTCCATTTATACACATGTTTTACATCAGCGAATACAAAATGCGTCTGTCAACTGAAAAGAAATTCTGATGGAATTGAAAAAATTTGCATTTCTGTGATACGTAGGTGTATAATAAAGCATGTGTACAAATGGAAGGAAAACACGTAAAACAATTTTTGTAATTTGTTTGCCAAGTAAACATAAGAATAAGAGAATATATTTAAAAAATTTTTATTTTCACATTATACGCGATTAAATAGAAGCAAGCAAATCTCACTAGCTTTATATCAAAATCGCTTCTAATTATAACAGAATTTTTCTATCTATGTTTATTCAATTAAAGCAAAGAGAAATTTAATTATGTGATTTAATTTTTGATGCAAATTTTAATTAAATTTCCTGAAACACACCCGTAAAATTTTTTTTGCATTACAATTTTGTTTATATTTTCCTCTTTTAAAATGATAATAATAAAAGAAAATGAAAATAATTTTGAAATCATGATCCTCTTTAATAAGTCTGAATTTCTATCGTTGTCTGTAGATGCAGCGCCTCAACTTCTATACAAGTTTATCGAGCAGACGATGCAGCCGGGTCCCTCGGTGTCGCTCAAGTGTATCGCGATGGGCAACCCCACGCCGCATTTCTCCTGGACACTGGATGGGTTTCCTCTTCCACAAAACGATAGGTAGGACGAGTAGTTTGCCTTGCAAGAGTCTCTCCTCTCTTCTCGAACGATGGATAAAGAGCGGGCGTGATAGAATCCCCAATCTGCTATAACCGTTTTTTCTCTCTCATTCTTCCGTCAAACGGAAAGTTTATGGCACCAAAAATCGATGAGCGATGTACACGGAGAGATTATTCGCGGTTATTAACCTTAGGGTATTACACGCGAGATCGTCGTGGGAAATCGGTGTGGAAGCGCGGGTTTTCCATCCGGCGGATCTCGTGGGAGTGCCTCTCGATAGGCCCCCGCGGGCTTCGATTCTCTGAACCAATTGAGAGGAAAATTACCAATCACGTTGTTCAGTCTGGACGTTTTTAAAAGCCGACCAAATTCCGAAGAGCGATGGATTTAACGGGCGCTCGCATAAGTCGAGCAGACGGTCGATAATTCCGCGATCCCGATGATTATCGCCGCAAGCGAGTCGCGGTAAGAATAATCTCGTTGAAAAAGGGAGATCGTTCTGAGAGGGAAGTATCTCCTTGCGAAAAATGAAACCGTCTATTATAAGAAATAAATTTTTCGATAGAGTTTCTTAAACAAAACTATGTGTCAAATGTGAAGATCTGTAATAAATATTAATTTAAGTTTGATACATCTTTAATACTTTACTTAAATATCGATAAATGTACGAAATTATTTATTTTTGAAAATGATAGATACTAACGTACATTGAATTTCAAATATATGACACAATTCTATATTGCGACGAGAGAATTTTGCAAAAATTTATCGCTCCAAGTTTCTCGCAGATATGTAACATTGATGAACGATAAAAGATTCTCTCGTCGACAATATTGATTTACGCTTCGCGAGGTTCAGCAAAAAAATTTTCAATAATTCTCCCGTCGACGAAGGATCGCCGTATATGTAGCGGGCGGATAGGATATAGGTAGATTAGTAAAACAGCGGTGATTTGCTTGCAGATTCATGATAGGCCAGTACGTGACGGTGCACGGCGACGTGATATCCCATGTGAACATAAGCGCGGTGCGGGTGGAGGACGGCGGCGAGTACAGGTGCTCGGCGGTGAATCGCGTCGCGAAGGTGCATCACGCAGCCCGGCTCAATATTTATGGGCTGCCTCATGTGCGACCGATGGGAAACTACGCCGCCGTGGCCGGCGAGACGACCGTCATCAAGTGTCCCGTCGCGGGCTTCCCGATCGCCAGTATTACCTGGGAGAAAGGTTCGCAGAATTCGCTGTCGCATCAATCAGTGGTTTTCCACACACATTCGACTTATTTTCTTAAAAAAATTCTCTTGTATGTTTTTTCCTTTTTTTTTCTTAATAATTGCATGCTAAATCGAATGAATAAATGGAGGTCTCGTTGCAGTCTATTATTATTAAAATATTATTAAAATACTAAATAATAATTATTAGAATACAATGAAGTTATATTGCACCTGGGGGGGAATAATATAAAATGTTTGCGAACACAATTTCAATTCGTTTGATCGTTTCAATTTGTGGCGAGAACGAAAAAGATGACAATATTGTCAAAAGATATATTTTCACATATATTTCTAATAAAGGAAAGAGAGATGTGGACCGCGAATTGAAAACCACTGGATCGAAGAAGATGAGATTTTTCGCAATACGATTCTTTCATTGACAGGATCTTTGCTTTACTATTTTATTACTCGCTTTTAGTTCCCGATACTTGGGGATCTTGGGTTTTTCGCGAACTTTCGCCTTTATCGTGAAATTGAATTATTCAGTTATTCTTTCGATATTAAAAACCGTCTTTCGACGTCAAGTGGAAGATCTCTTATTTTAATAGTAGAGAGAGAGAGAGAGAGATACACTTGTGTATTTTATATGTTACATTTGTGTCATATTTCCTGTAAAGTATTGTGATGCGATTCGACAAAAGTCGCATTGTGTCGCATCTCGGTTAAAACGATCGCAAAATCTCTGGAGATGTATATAGTATTATTTTCCAAAATATAATATATTATATA